ATGAAATTTACTATATAGTTTAGAAACAAATAGTGAATATTGTGACCATCAGATTTGAAATCGGAGTTACAGATTATAGAATTTAATTTCGTATTCTTTCGAGATCTTCAATATTGCTTAAATTTCGATGTTTTGCTATTCTATAGTAAATTTCGGTGTTAATATTATTATGATGTTGTTTTAAATCTGTAATAAGAATTTGTTAAAAACTATTTGAGGAAACTTTGGAAGAAGAAAGACTTGGTCCTTAAGTGGTCAATTGGGAGCACCTCTCTTCCGGAAGTCTACCGACAAGTTTTACTTAAATCCTATTGAACAGGATTTTGGGAATGTTAAATTTATTGTGTTAATATATTCTTGTTGAGATATTCAGTTGTAGATTTCTGAAATAATTGGATTTTATTAGATTTGATTTAGAATCTGCAAATGATTGTGAATTATAATAATGTGATTTATGTGGAAAGGAAAGATGGCAAGTATGTGAAGTACGTGATATAGTCAATTTGTATGACTTTCGGGATGCTGGAGGGAGCAGATGGTGTCTGCATTCTATTTGGGTTCGATAAGGATATTGGTGTATGCATATGCCATATTGGTGTATGCATGAGCATATGGTGACTGCATTATGATTTGGGGTTGGAGCATATGGTGTATGCATTGATGCATATGGTGTATGCATTATGATTGGTGTGATATATATTGATGCTGAATGTGGTTTAGGTGTAACTCATCATTTGTTAGGTAATTTGATTTGGTCTCGTGAGCCTAGTATGTTTGATATCGAGGGTATGGTTATTGTATGGAATTGTTAGATCACCCTTACATGTGTGTGCATTGAATGCGATCGGATAATGCGTGCATGATAGGGAGCGCAGAGATTGAACGGAATGTCGTTGGGGAAGCAAGACCAATGAAGAAAGCGATCGAAGATTTAGTTAGGAAGGATTCACGGTATACTGAGGAGTTTAGAGTTGAAATGTGCGTTTCACATAGTATATATCACTGTGAATTTTAGTGTGAGATTACGGGATGTTACCGTCAATTCATCTATGACTTATCCAAGTGAGATATCGGGATGTTACAAAGTCTTCCGGAGGAAACAAATAAAGTGCAGAAGGTAAACACCACAAATCATATTCTACCTAAACTATTGAATTAGAAAACATTCTACTAATCAATAATGACACAGCATTAATTTCATTCAAACGATAGTAATACATACACAATTAAAAAATCACTTTCACCTAAATAAAAACCACGAAGCAGCCAAAATCCAAAACCATTGGGCATTTCCGAGAATCGAACTCGGGACTCCGCACCCAAACGAGACTCATACACTAGACCAAATCCTGCTATCTCATTCTCAATTAACCTTTTATACCAAATAAAATGTGAGCCTTTCTTTAAGAAATTGCAAAGTGAAGTGTGTTTTGCAAGTTGGGGGCCGAATAGATAATTACAAGGTGTCCCATAATTGGAGTCGGAGTCTGAGGGTAGTCTCAACATAACAAACACCACAACCCCAAAAACCCCCACCCTCCCAAACACACCAAAAAAACACCCTCCCCCAAAAAAAAACAAAAAACCCCTCTCTCCCCCCCAAAACAAACCACCCACCACCTCCACTGTACACAACCCATCATGGAACCTTTATGCAAATCTTCAAAGTTTGTCACATTTACTCACATCTCAATGCTTCTTCATTCATGTAAATAAAATATACAAAATCAACACTTTCCCCCACCAAAATATTTAAAGAGATTTACATCCACTTATCTATCTTGGTGCATATGCAATCAATAATCACCTTGGGGTTGAATTGCAAAAGATGCTTCCTTGGTTTGGTCCATCATACATTGACACAAATGAAACGTCATCCATCCTTGTAACTCAAGAAATTATGTGTTACTGTTTCAGAAAAGTTGGTTTCAAGAAGCAAGCCAGCTGGATGTTGAATCATAAGGTGCTGGCAGCTGCAACTTTGAAGCCATGGGTCCCCACAATTACAAAGTGCCTTTCTAATCAAATACACATACACTGTCATAAGATTTTCTGGTTTCTCGGGAGACCTATTTTAATAACCAGTAACCAGTTAATGCAGTTGTTTAGGACTTAATTACAGACCTTATTTGGTATTTATGATTTGAGGACCAATAAAAACACTTTCTGTCATTAAAAATATTATTTTTATTTGATATTTTTTTATCAAGAAATATCAGAGTGGAATATTAAAAGGATGGTGGTGGATAATTTAAAATTATTGGTAACAGATTGGAAAGTGCTTTGGAGGACTTTGAAGCAAAAGGGCCAATGAATTCTTGCTGGTAGGCTCATGCTGTGCAGCTTTCTCTTACATCAAGTGAATGTCCATGTGCCAAAGTGCGTCGGCTAAATTTGTTAATGATGTTAACAACAATTAGAGAAATGGTGCATAAGGTTTTGGTAACAAACAAAAATCACAGTTATTAGTAAACAGTTGAGTGTACAATCATGTCACGTACATGTTAGACTTAAATGTTTTTCTTAGTTTTTACGCATTTATATTTACAGTTGAAGACAGTGTTGGAACATTAAAATATACGAGAGAAAAGTGTGGTTAGGTGCTTAACATTTGATCAAAATGATTGTCAGTGACATTATAATTGTTTGGAAGTTTGCTTTAGTCTCCGCAATTTTCTGCTTGCTTCTTACCTTTTTTTCCTTGTTTCCTCTTCAATCTTCATTCTTCTGTTCTTCTCCTTGGTGACAAACCAAGACTAATAACACACGCGCAGAGATCATAGCTTGTGTTGGTGAGGTGAGAAGATAAAGAAATAATGGCATTTGCAGGAACAACCCAGAAGTGTATGGCTTGTGACAAAACTGTTTATCTGGTTGACAAGTTGACTGCAGATAACCGAGTGTTCCACAAAGCCTGCTTCAGATGCCACCACTGCAAAGGAACCCTCAAGGTCTCTCTCTCTGCCCCTCTTGACAATTTTCGTTGATTATATAGTGCATGTTTGTTTTCAAAGCAACACAAAAACAACTTATAGTTGCTTTCCAGATCCTTGTTAGTTGATGATCATCAACGTGCTATCAAACATACAGAGTCTAGTTCAGGCTTCTGGTTTTGGATCTGATGTAAATGTAAATGTGCTGGAATGCAAAGTGGCATCAATCTTAGCCTTTCCTTTAACTAAGCACTTTCCTATCAGGAATATTGTATTTCTTTGCCTCAAAACTTGCCAGGATTGCATGATATTATTGTTTTAGAAGACTGACAAATAATATAGGGACCTTTGCTCTTTAGGTGTATTAAGGCCTGATAGCACATTGCAGTTTTCATAAAAGGAAGTTTGTTAGCTCTCAACATCCAATCTCTTCGTGATTTCGGTTGCCACACTAACAAATTAGTGTATCTGCAGCTTAGCAACTACAACTCTTTTGAGGGAGTTCTTTACTGCAGGCCACACTTTGATCAACTGTTCAAAAGAACTGGGAGCCTTGACAAAAGCTTTGAAGGTAACAAGGGATCACGAATCTAATTATTTAATGTCACACTGTGCTTTTCTTCTTAGTTACTCAAACCCCACTTCCTTTTGCTTAACCAGGGACACCAAAAATTGCCAAGCCAGAGAAAAATTTGGAGGAGGTAATAAATCTTAAGTCTAGGTACTTACAATGCACAATAGAAATCAGTTTTTCAGCATTTGTGTAACTTGTTATATGTTTTAATTAGAAACCTGGAGCAGCCAAAGTCTCGAGTATGTTTGGTGGAACAAGGGATAAATGTGCTGGTTGTCAGAAAACAGTGTATCCCACTGAGAAGGTAACACTCAACTATAATGTTTGTCAGCTAACACAAGTTATAAGGCCGCCAAAGCATCTATCGTTGGCACACAATTCACCTTCCTCTTCTAATATAAAATCTTGATGTTGAGTAATGAGTTCAGAACTACTTGTTCTGCTTATGGAATCAATATTTTGATGATGTAGGTTACTGTGAATGGAACACCTTACCATAAGAGCTGTTTCAAATGTTGCCATGGAGGGTGTGTTATCAGTCCTTCAAATTACATAGCACACGAGGGAAAACTCTACTGCAAACACCATCATATCCAATTGATCAAGGAGAAGGGAAATTTAAGTCAACTCGAAGGTGACCATGAGAAGGGTGAAAATAATGGGAAAACCAACGGTGAAGAAGTTGCTGCGGAGGCATGATGAAAGATTCTTGAATCCCAGGACTTTTGTTTTTTCAAGTTCCATATTTGTGCACCATATGTTTCTGCGTCTCTCATCTTTTATCATTACTTGCAGTCCGGGAAGCTCATTACCCGTGACAAATATGGTATTCAATTTTCGTTAGTTGAAGTGTGCGAATCTTTATCATATGTTTTTGGTTGTTGTGAGCGTTTGATTCAGAATGTGATTCAGAAGTACATGTTACTGCACTTCTTGAAACTCTCATGCACTTCCAATTGATATTGAATTATATCCATCAGTACAATACACAAATGTGGTTTTCTACTATCCATCTACACAGCTTCCTGCCCAATTATTGCACAGAAATGCAACCAACTTCCATTCCCTCTCAAAGGAACAATGAAGAATTCTCCCTCTGAATCCAAGTATGATGATATATGACGGTTGCGAAATAAAATCTTATTTGCGGACTTTTAAGCATTCTCATGAAAAGCCACATTCTTTCAATATAACTGAAACCAAAGAAATGGAAAACAACCAAATGAGTTTCAGTAGTTTAGATAAAAGGTAAGGGGTAATAGGACAAGAGAATAAACCTACATATTTTCTGACTGCATATTAGAGTGTTCTGCTTATATCATTATTTCAGTCTTCATCAAGTAAAATATATTTTAGACATTGCAGTTTAAACTTGCGGGATATCAGCTAAAGAAGCAGAAGTCCTGATATTATTGTAGATATGAAATATTTGAGCAAATAAAACGTAATGCAATAATCTCAGGATTTGTTTAAACTGATGAGGAAAGATGAAATGGAGAAGAACAGAATCAATAGGAATTTGTTGTCAACATTGGGATAAATATGATGTAATGAAATGAAACATTGTGATATCCATAATATTGATATCCCATCCTATTCAATACACTATGTCATAAAGTTTAGGTGTACAGAGTGCAAGAGGGAAAATCAATTAGCAGGAGCTTTTACAGTATCGACAATGAAACCATTATGTACAATAGGTTTCATGTGTACAACCAAATTATCGGAAAGGAATCCAAATCCAAAAGTACCATCCTGGTACTGCCAAATCCTTCCCTCTACACTTTTTGGATTTCCGGTTGGAACACCTAAATCATAATTTGATCTAATGTGAAGAATTCTATTTACCACATTTTCTGATATCCGAACCTCTTGAATCCCATTCATCACTTCATCATCTAACAAAAGGAACTGCTCAAGTATTTCATTGACTGGTTGAAGTGGTCTAACATGAACACGACCAGCGTACAATGATTCTTCTTCAGGAGGAAAGGGAGATTCCAAAAATGTAGCATTTGATACCCAGAAAAATGGGGCATATTTTGGATGATCTCCAATCCGACGACAAGAGATGCCTCCAATATCATCATATCCAACCAAATAAAATGCCAGACTCCTGTCGTTACAAATTCCCTGCAACAACCACAACAAAAGATTAGATGAACCATCATCAACTATATCAAAATCTCTACTCTCATTCACTCTTCATAATCATCATATATCTAAAAAAACCGAAAATTTTAGAGTATATACACGGTACTCAACATTTTTTTTGTTGCAAGCAAACATAGGGGACAAAACGACAGCATTATTTACATCCAAATGTGGAACTCA